CCCCCTCCACATAGGCTTATGTTCTACCCCGATAGAAAGAGTACTGCCCTGGGAAGGAGGCTGCGGGCAGGGGTGCTGACTTAGGGTCTAATCCCCCCACCGGGCAGCAACAGTGTTCCTTGCTGAGGATCACTTCTCTGTCTAGGGCTCAAGGGGAAAGGCAAAGCCTTCAGGGAAGATGGTGGCTCCACTGGGAAGAAGGGAGGTTGAGGATCAGCATCTGTGTGAGGTGGAAGGACTAGAGCTGAGGGCCATATTCACACATGTGACTGGCATCCTTGTCGGTCTTAAACCCTTTGATGAACACTGCTTGGGCCAAAGCTGGGCTGGTATGACCATGAGTCCTCCCCTCTCCATATCCAGGCCTCTTACCAGTGTGTCCCTGCGAAGTGTCCAAGGCCATGTTCGTCCTGTCATATCATGGAGGAGAGCCCAGCATCTCTTGGGTGAAGCTAAGGAATGGGGTCTGGAGGGTGCCCCTCTTTTCCTTTCCCCCAGTCATTCTGCAAATTCACTCTGTCCACCCATCCCCTGGCCACAGGGATTAGCGGGTGCACTTGATGTTGAGGGGTAGTTGCTAGGGCCAGGAGGCCCCCCTACATGGTTGCTAGGGGTCTGGCATCAGGCGAGGGGTCTGCCCACTGCCGCGGTCACGGAGGGAATTACACAGTCACAAAGAAATTGTTCTTCTCAGTAATCTGCTCTTGGCCACCGGGAGGGGTGAGGGTGGGGGAGCAAGCTGGAGCCCAGCAGGCTGGGGGCTGTGATCACAGAGGCGTGCTCGCCCCAGGCTGGGGGCCAGCCTGGCCGGGAACACCAGGGACCAGCCCGCTAAGCTGCTTTCTCAGCGATTTCTCTCCCCAGACACAAAGGTGTTTACTTGTTTTAACATCTCCTGGGACTCCCCTTCTCCCTTTGTGTGGTCTTTATCCCCAATGAGGTTTGAGCCCCAGATTACAGGCGGGGGAATTAAGGCATTGGACTCAGGCAGCTCAGAACTGCATGACCTGCAGGATCAAGGAGTATAAAGTAACCAAGTGTGTGTGCGTGAGGGGGGCCGACCCCTTCAGCAAGGCCCATTCATCGTCCTGAGGAGGAGAGACTGGGTGGCGGGTGGCCAGTGTGCAGGTGTGATGGAGGGGCTGATGGCAGCTGATTGAGGCCGTTAGCTGGGGGGAGGGCCTGGGACTAGGATGTGAGGGGAGGGAGTCTGGGGTATCTCCTCCCTCAGCCCCCCCATTCATTCCTAAGGGAGTCTAATTCTAGCTCAGGAAGGAGAGCTGCATTTCCTCAGAGACTGATGCCATTTGGAGGTTCAAAGAATCTGTGTGGGCCAAGATGGGACAGTGGCTCATCCTGTGCCCCTCCTCTCTCCCCAGTGGGCAGCTGATGACACACCTGGGCAGTGACTTTCCCCCAGGTGCTGGGGTGCTGGACCTCATGTATGAGTCCCCTTTCACACTTCTGTCCTGTGGCTATGACACTTACGTTCGATACTGGGACCTCCGAGCCAGTGTCAGGTGAGTGTGCTGGGCAGGAGAACAGGTGGTGGGAGGCCTGTGCCAGTCTTGGTGGGAGAAAGTACAGAGACTCCCATGTCAGGGACTGGTAGGGAGCAGCTGGCAAGGTCAGGTCAAGCTTAGACTCCCCACCTTGGGCAGTCTTGGCCCTGAGGCCTGGGAGACTGTAGCCACCAGGCCCTGATAAGAGCCTTGGAAGTTGTCAGGGTGCCATCCCTCAGCATTCTGACCCAGCCTTTCTTGAGGCCTTTCTACCTCTCCAAGGCCGCCTTAGTCCTGTGACATGTAGTCAGTTATGTGAAACACAAATGAGGGCATAGTCTACGCTGTGGCCTGGGGCTTGATGAGAAAGAGACCTTTACTAAGGATGCTTTCCCCCATTAAGGTTGGTTTTTAAAGAATTTGGTGATTCAGCTTCTCTCTCTCTCAGCCAGAATGGGGAAGTGGGGGTGGGGGTGGAGGGCACTCTGAAGCTCCCCCTACATCTCTTCTTCCTGGACAGGAAGTGTGTCATGGAGTGGGAGGAGCCCCACGACAGCACCCTATACTGCTTGCAGACAGATGGGAACCACTTGCTGGCTACAGGTTCCTCGTACTATGGCGTTGTGCGACTGTGGGACCGGCGCCAAAGGGCCTGCCTACACGTGAGCATCCTGCCTACCTCTCGCCTCCAGGAAGCCAGGACTCATTTTTATGGGCTGCACCTAAGAGTGGGTGTGCCTGGAGAGGGTGGGAGGAAGCGTACAATGGCACCTAGCCCATTGCACTGGGCCTGGGAATCCTGGGTTCGGGCTCCATCACCTCTCACTCAGGACACTCTTGTCATTCTTGTGCCCTCCCTTGCAGGCCTTCCCGCTGACATCGACACCCCTGAGCAGTCCTGTGTACTGCCTGCGCTTTACCACCAAGCATCTGTATGCTGCTCTGTCTTACAATCTCCACGTCCTGGACTTTCAAAACCCGTGACAGTCAAGGCCACCTCAGCCTGTGGGCCCAGGAAGCCAGCTACTCAGGGACCTCTCCTGCTTGGAGGGTGCAGTAATAACTTCTCCCCACCCCCGTGCCTGTGCTCCCAGACCTGCGACCACAGTGCTTGGGCACTTGAGCTAAAGGCTGCTGACTCGTGGGAATCTGGAGTTACCCAAAGGCACAGTTCCTCCCAGGAACCAGTTGGAGAGAAGGGACCTGCTGCTTTAGGAGAGGCTGAACCCACTGGGCCTTCCTTTCCTGTTGGCCAGAGTAAGGATCTGGCCTGGAGAGGCCCCCACTGCACTTCACCCCTTCTTAGAGCCATGATAGCTTAAAGTTAGGTGAGGTGTGTGCTGGCCTTTCCAGTGGTCCCTTTCTGCCCTTTCCCTGGAAGGGTGGCTGCCAATACCACTGCTGGCACCAGCCCCTACCTCCTCAGTCAGACCCCACCTTTGACCAAGCTTTTTGAGCTGGGGACTCATTCCTGGGGCACTGTGGCCTGGTTTCCCTTTGAAACCAAGAAAGGACAAAGGGAACCCAGCAGTTTTGAGTGAGTTCTAAGCCAGCCCCGTTCTAGGCCAGCTGTTGAGACATGGTACAATGTTCATTTTTGTAAAAATAAAGCTTAATTGTTCACAGATCTGGTTCCTCACTGGCTGGGGAGTCCTGGGAGGCCCCAGGGAGAGGGGACAACAGATTCAAATTTGGGGATGTGCATGCTGGGTAAAGTGTAAGACCAGCCTCATGGTTCAGTGTCCCAAAGAACAAAGGTGTGTTTTTTTTTCAGGAAACCCTCTCACTGACCACCCATTCCTTTGGCCCTGGTAGTGGGGTAGTTGTCACCTGGGGCATATGGAAAAGGGACCATCAAAGGGCTCTAGGCTTCTAGGAGCTAAACTGCTGTCCACCTGCGGTGACTCTTCCTCATATGAACATAACACGCACACTTCACAAGGCTACCACCCTTATTCTGGCTTTTCACCCACAGCGTCTTCTCATCCTGGGCTCTATGTCCAAGGTTTCTGCATTTTTAAATAAAAACTTCACCCACCTTCATGTTAGGGAGTTCCTCTGGGCCATGTCTGAAAGCTAAGATAGTGCAGGGCCCCTTCCAGCCTAGTTGTCTTCTGATTTTATGCAAACAGGTTGGGGAAGACACTGGCCTCCCCAGCTGGGGTCAGGGTTCTCCCACCCCCTTTGCCATCTAAGGCCCATACCTCCCTTTATATGGAAGCTTTATGTGGAAGGTCCCTAGGAGAGAGAAGGGAATGTTGCCACCAACACTCTCCCTGGGGATAGGAGCATACAGAAGTGGATAAGAGGGCAGTCTACCTACAGTGACTCAGAATGACTTTACTCAGGAAATAAGACCATGAAGCAGGGGGCCGGGAGTGCCCCAAGGCCCAGTTCTTACAGAGCCTAGATAGCTCCTGGAAGAGAAGAGGCTGCCCCTGTGCCAGAAAGGCTGAAGCTGTGAAGTCTTACAGGTGACAGGAAGAGCCTCACCCACCTCCACACTGGAGGTGCAGGCTCGGGGGTCCACTACTGGGTCTTGCAGTCCCCATCACTGCTGTGGGCCATCTTTACTTTCTTCAGCTCCTTCTGCAGCTCCAGCTCGGCCTCCAGGACCTCCTTTGGCTTCTGGTACTATAGATGAAGCCAGGAAGAGGACAATCCAGTCACACACCACCACCTCCATCCACCTCACTCTCCCTTCTCTCTCTCTAAGGCTCCTTCTGATCCCTTTATTCAAAGATGAGGAAACTGAGGACTACAGGGTTGAATGATTTGCTCAAGGCCACATGGCTGGGTAGGAGCAGGCCTTGAACCAGAATCTCAGTCCTGTGATTTTCACCCCTCCCCATCACCCTCTATCCTCTAGCTGTCATTCATAAGATCAGGTTCCTCCCTGAGCCCCCACCCTTGTTCTTCCCAAGCTGAAACAGAGATGCCTGTTCTGTAGCAAGTACATCTCAGGGGCTGGGGCTAGAACTGAGGACTCCTATGGAATGGGAAGTGAGTAGGGAAGAGGGGGCCTCTCCCTGATGCAGTGGCTAAGAAGTCTGGGTGAATCTTACGGAGATGATCAGGGTGCGGTTGGCATAAGCAAAGCTCAGCAAAGAATCATCCAGAGGTAGCTGGTATCTGTCCAGATCAGTAATGGAGAACTTCTTATAGTACCTGTGGGGGACATAAAGGGGCCATGGGGATACCCAACAAGGTGACCCCAACAATTGGGCATCAGACCCTGTACTGCCAAGCCTCTACACAGTTCTCTCACACCGTCCAACAGCCAGACAGGGAGAAGGGAAGCCAGTTGGAACACCAGTATTTTGGAGCTTATGGCCAGTCCAGCAGAAGAGCAGAACTGGTCTTGATTCCTTGACTAGACCAGGGGTTAGACTGACTTATACTTCAGGCTTAGGACTACCAAAGACATAAAGAAGAAACATGGAATATGTGGATAGTTCGAGCCAGCCAGACCTCCTCTGTACCCCAAGAAAATGGGATGTGTGTGCTAACAAGGGACAGAATGAGGACATCTAGAGCTGTCCCCCAAAGCTGGGGCTGACAGTTGCCATTTACATGGGAATTCCACTGAAGACCTCAGCTACCTTTTCCTCTGTTGGGGTCTCTCAAGCCTGATTAGCTAACTCTATTGTAGGCCAGAGAGGGAAGTACATCCACAGCGGAAAGCTCCCTGAGAGGACAAACCATGTGAGTCATCTAGGAAGCTGGATCTCTGGGGCTCTGGACTACTTTGTTGGCCCTGAGGTCTCCTCTGTTTTCACACACCATACACACCACTATCATCTGCTGGTGCCAGTCCAGAGATTAATGATCCCTTTTAGTAAAAAAACAAAGCAAAAAACCCCCAGATAGCACCACTCAGTCCATGTGTGTAACTGGACTTTGTTTTGCAGGAAATTTGACCTCCTTTACCAAAGAGGAAACTCAGGCTCAGAGAGGTGAAATGTCCTGCCTGGTTTCACAGCCAGTTGTCAATGGAGTCAGGATTGAAGTTCCTTGCTCCTAGTCTGGTGCTTATCACACTAGAGCACAAAGAACGGCCTACTCATCTCTAGCAATAGGCCCGTTTGGCATTTTCCTTGGTGGAAGTGTAGCTAGGCTCTGGTCAATGGCTGCCAGACCTGTCACCCAGGCACAGCATCACTGCTGCCTAGGATGTGTGGGTTGGGAAGGGAAATGCTGCAGGCAGGTACAAACAAACTCAAGTGAGGGGCCTGGAGAGGATGGGGCTTTTAATACTTCAGAGGAGCCTGGTCCTTGTGGTGACAGCTACCTCGAGTCCACTTCAAAAGCCCTGATGCCCTGGGGACTCGGAGAGTTGACATCAATGTAGCACTTTTGCCCCACTCTCCCTACCCAAATCCCTTAGTTTAGCAGAGGCTCTTAGGGCCCCTCTCCTCCCAGGTTCCCCACTCCCCGCCAAGGTGCTGGGACCCACGGCAGGAAAAGAATGTTTACTTAAAGGCTGACAGTTCAAAAGGAGTGGGGGCAGGGAGATCCTAATGGCACCACAGGTTTGCTTTATTTTCCAAAGCTCTGCCCCAGGGAAAGGTGATCCATCTGCCTGCAAACTGGAGTGGAATGCCGGCCTCATCCCCTTCCCAGCCAGCCCAGGCTGAGGTCTTTTCCTGGGGCCCTTGGTCTGACCAGCAAAGGTGGCAGACACTGATAATAGGGGAGAGTCAAAGGTTAAACAGCAAAGATTAGATGAACACAAAAGCTCGTTAGGAAGTGTTAACATCTTCCTTGCAAATATACACGAGAAGCAGAACTGGGCGAGAAGCAGTTCAGGCACATGCAGCCCAGCGGAACCCAAGGGGCCGGTGTAAGGCTTTGCCCTGTAGAACAAGGGGACATCCTTTCTGCTGACCTGACTTGTGTGCTGGGGGGACAGGGACACACCTGTGCACCCTCAGAGGGGCACTCTCAAGCCACATTCCCCAGGCTGGGGCAATGGGACTAGAAAAAGAATCCCAGGGCTGGGCCTCATGGCAATGGCAACAATAAGATCAAAGGGAGCTTGAGGTGCATGAGGTGCATGGCTTGCCTCCTTCTTGGTCCTACACCCACCATCTTTCATGAGATTAGGGGAATGGAAGCAGTGGGTCTAGAGACTCAGCTTTGTTTTGAGTCTATTCTAAGAGGTTTAGTTTATTGGTTGAAGTCAAACAATTTTTCTCAGAAGCTCCTGACAGGCAGTGTTCAAAAGGGTAGGGGGCATCTCTCCTCAGGGAGCAGCCCCCTGCCCCCATTCCCTGACCTTGGAGTTTGCCTTGAGAGGAACTGCACTTGACTTTCTCACCAGCACCTGGACTGGAGAGAGACCCACTGTGCTTCTGGAGAAGCCAAAATGCTCAGCCTCAGGCAGCCCTAGGTAGGCAGCAAACATTTCTTAAGCATAAACTGTGTCCCAGGCCTTGAACTGTGAGCCTCGGGACTTAAAAATGAAGAGACAAGGCCACATCCCTGCCTGAGGAGACTATGTTGTATTTCTGTTAAAAGTTAAACTCTTGCCCAGCCGGGCGTGGCTCAGTGGTTGAGCATCGACCTAGGATCCAGGAGATCAGGGTTTGATTCCCCGTCAGGGCATATGCCTGGGTTGCAGGCTGCAGCTGATCAATGACTTTCTCATCATTGATGTTTCTATCTCTCTCTCTTCCTCTCTCTCTTCTTCTGCCTTCCTCTCTCTGAAATCAATAAAGATATCTTAAAAAAAAAAAATCAACCAATAAATGCATAAATAAGTGGAACAAAAATAGACCTCTCTCTCTCTCAATTCAATAAATAAATAAAAAATTTAAAAAAAAAGTTAAACTCTTATAGCAGGTGGTTTCTGGGCTTTTTGCAGATGCCCAGCACTCCTCCCCCATTTTCATCTCTCTCTGTTCTCAGTCTCGGCCACACAACGAGAGGTGACATTTATTAATGCTTATTCTGTGCCAGGCACTGTTCTATACATTGACTCCTCAAAACAATCCTCTCAGGTTGGTTACTACTTCTATTATCCTCTTTTACAGAAGAGGAAACTGAGGCACAGAAAAGTTAGGTATCTTGCCTAAGTCACAAAACCGGTAAATGAAGAAGCTCTAATAACAAGTGATAATCCCCCAAGTCTACTGACCCCTCCATCTTTCCAGATTCTCACTTCCAAGTAACACGCCACCTGGTCTAAGTTCCCTGCATCTTTCCAAGGATGGGGCAGATATGGGAGGTGGGCTCCCCAGGGATCCAGCCATCCTGCACGTCTCTGTGGCACTCTAACAACATGGTCATCTTGCTTTCTGAATCTCAAGTGTTCACAAGCAAAGGCTCTCAAGCAGGCAGACCATTTAGCTTTTGAGCCTGTTTCTTCCTCAAATAAAGGAGCTGTCCTAGATAAACTTTAAGTCTGCAGGTGCCAGTCCAACAGGCAGGAACAGGCCAACACTCCTCAGTGTGAGCCAAAAGGACAGCTCCTTTTTGGCTATTTCAGAAATGACCTACCACAACCCATCACTCTCTTCCTACTGTATCGCCTTCCCAACTCCCAGGCCTTTCCCAACGCATTCTCCCTTGCAGTGAACTGAGAAAGGGCACAGGTCAGGTCTTCAGAGAGAGACAATGGAGAACAGGTTGGAAGTAGAAACAGGGCCACTGTGGACTATTGCATGGGCCATGCCCCATATACCTTCAGGGGGCACCCTATACAACTGTATGCAGGGTTGGCCAGAGTAGTCAAGAGAAGCCTCCAACCAGTCCAGCCCTTAGAAAATCAGTAGGCAAATCTTCCTTCTTCTTAAACATCAGGGCTCTGGGCAAATTGTTCATCCCTGCCTATAGGAGCCCCTCCTAGAGAGTCACAATACACATTCACATACTAAAGGCTCTCAGAAGTCCTACCAAAAAAAAAACTTGTTTGATCTAGAGTTTCCTAAACTTATTTAAGTGCAGAATCCTTTCTTCTAGCAATGTCTTTTAACACCTCCTACAGTGTTAGTATCACCGATGTCAAATCAGCCAAGCTCCCTTCACATTCCAAATTCCAAAGAACTGCTGAGGACCTGCTTAAGGGTGGCCATTGTGTTGAGCATTTGTATGTATATGATTTCATCAAATTCCCCAATCTGTGAGGTAGGTATGAGTATTCTCCTGTGACGGATGAGGAAACTTTGCCCCAAATACTACAACTAATACGGGGCAAAAGCCAGATTTAAGCCAACATCTTCCCATTCCAGCACCCTGGCTCATTCCACCTACAGCTGCCAGCTTCTAGGCTGAGGTGAAGAACCTTCTTTCTGCACAAACTCTCTTAACAGGATCAGATGGTGCCACACTGGGATCCTGGAAAAGCACTTTCTTCCTTCCCTCACTAATACCTGAGGCCAAGGACATGATACACTGGAATCAACTCCTTCAGGAACAGTAGCCAGCCCAGTTCTTCAGGAACAAGGCAGGTATGGACAAAGGAACCCTGGCTTTTATTAGTAACCACATTCCAGAATATTAGAAAGGGGGCAGGCATGGAACCTCCAGGTGAGTGAAGAAGTAAAATCAGAGAGAAACACCATGGCGCGGTGGAAACTGAGGTGCCTGGAGTTTGAGACCATTACTAACTTCACCTTCGGCAAGTCAGCCCATCATGCTGACTTTACAGATAACTTACATGATCATTAATACATGACACAAGAATAAAAATATGTACCCTGCCCACCTCTGGATGTTGTGTTAATCAGAAACCAGATTTTTAAAGTATTCTGAGAAAATTAAACATTGCTCAAAGGAATAGCTATTAAGTTCTGTTAAATTAGTGGTAATAAAGGTATAGGACACATTACTACTCCACATAGAAGTTGAAAATGCCACTAAACTCAGGATTAAGGGTTTAGCAACCCCTCTCGCCTACCTTCCAGCAGAGGGACCTGAGGAAGGCTGGGCTGAGCCAGGCTGGGCCACTGGACCCGATGGTCAGTGTTGGTTCCAAAGTGGGCACTGACAAACTCCTCTCCCCTCCAATCCCTGGCCCTGCCTCATCCCAAGGCACTACTCCAGTCCCACCTGGCCACACCCATCAGTTCAAAAATGTCTCCCCACGGCCTTGAGCCCAGAAGAGCTCCTGGCCAACAGCGCCACCTATGGCTGCATATGAGCAGGAGATGGGACCCAGAGGATCTGCTCTCAGATGAATTTTTTGGTGAGCTAGCTAGCCTCTCTCCTCTCACTCCCTGGTAATCACATTTCTGCCTGATATCTGTATTCGACAGTGACCTCTGGGGGACAAAAGGGAGGCAGCAGCCAGCTCCACAAACTGCTGGGCTGCAGATTCAAGTGCTATCAGAAGCACTTTTGTTCCCAGTTTGGACCCAAGGCCTCTTATACCAGGGAATGCTTGCTGAAGTACAGAGTTTGTTTTCCTAAAGGCAATTTCTCTGTTGTCTGAAATTGCTAAATTCCACTTTAGGCACTGACTCCTGTTAATGATGAGAACAATAACAGGAATAAAGTGCCTTTTGTCTGAGGGCTTCAAAGTGCTTTATAAACGCAAACTCTTATTATTATGACTTTATATTTATAGACAAGGCCCACTGCAGGGGCTACTGGCTGCATGTACAGCAATAATCTGAAATTAATTCATTCATCTCCACCCCTTCCCTGTCCCCTCAACCCTGCCAAAGTGATAGGGTAGGGGTGGGTGGGAAGGGTCATATGAAGTGGGCAGGACCCAGGGCTGCAATGGGGGAACCTGGGAACCATACTGCTTCCGTGTGGGCCTTGTGGACCTGAGGGATATGGGAGGGGAAGCTGGCACCATTCCACCCGAGAAAATGAACAAAGAGCTGGGTCTTCCTTACTGTATGTAAACCAGTAAGGTTAGCTAAACTAAGCTTAGCACCCCAGGAGGCATGTTGGCTGGCTTCACAGCTTGTGGACCAGTAACTCATAAAGCCTTCCATTTCCATTCCCCAAGTCTATGTCATGGGAATTGGCCCTACACTGCAATCCCTCTTGCCCACGGCAAGACTAATTCATTACAGGGCTATTCTTTCTCCTGTGATCAGTCAGAGCTCCGGAAACCGAAATGGGATCAATACATTTCCAACATGGTCAGCCTGGAAACAGCCCTGCCAGGATCGAATCTCCACCTTGGCCGCTTCTTTCCCCTCAACCCCACCTTTTGCCTCCTTCCAGTAGACCACAAAGAGAGGACTGAAGGGAAGTTGAGTACCCCTTTTGAAACATAATGCAAGAGACTTTCAAGAGGCCAAAGCACCTGCCCACTGTCCCTCAGGCTAGGGAGGGATTAGGTTTGATGCTCCTATACCAGCACTTGAAAGTCCTGTAACTGCCACCTCAGATGGGTGTGCCTTCCAGGCCCTAGCTCCCTGGCAGCTCCGACAGTGATATCACCAGGCCAAGTTCACCCTGGACTGGATCCAGCCCATGGGTCCAGAGGTCAAGGTTACAATAACCTTACAACAGAAACACCTAAGATCACAAGTTAATAACCAGGTGATTTCCTCATCTCCTCGTTCATTCAAAAAGCATTTTTTGAGCCCCAGTATATGCTGGTACTGGACCAAACACTTGTTCAAATTTCCCTGCTCTGATGGAGCTGATCACATAATTACAGCTGGTCCTCCAGGGAGGAAACCTTCATCGTTCATCACCTACTGGGGTTTTAGTGAAGCCTTCCTTCCTCCCGCCCTCCCCCAGAGCTGGAGGAGGAGGCTTCTCTGCCCTCCC